AATGTAATTGATGTTCTTTAGGATTTCACTGTACATATTTATTTCATTTTATTTCATCGCAATATTGATTTCGCAATAAAAATATAACCAAAAAAATTGTAACACAAAGGGGAATTTAAAGTATCTTTTACATGAAATGTATCATTCTTTATAATCACACATAAAACGAAACTCACACACTGGTTCAAACCTGGTGACGCTTTTACCACACCACTCTCGTCCGTAAAGAAGGTATTTGCACTGTCTCCATGGACTAAAGTAACCCGTCTCTGCACCAGTGTCAGCTGTAATAACATAAACAGAGAATCAGAGGCTAAAAGAGTTTATTTTCTCTTCGTGGCAGCGAACCCGATAAACGAAAAAAAAATCGCGCATTTTATTTTCGATTTCATTAGAGTGCTTTAATAAATAATTGGTAAAAAAAGGTATAATGCATCCGTGTTTAATTCTAGAATGTATAATTTAGTGTGTCAATTTTGCCCAAGTGCCATTTGAAATGTAAATTATAAAGAGACAATTTTACTACATTAGCATGTAATCGTTTCACATAAAACTAAAAAGAAAAAGATAAAAAAAACAATTCAAAAATGTAAATTAGTTTAAAATATAATATTTTTCAATAGTAGTTTTATTGGAATCAAAATTAGAGTTGTATATAACTAAACAAAATTAGAAAAAATAATTCTTTAATACAAAGTAATATTTGCTTCTAAATCGACTATGGTTTCAATTAAATAATACATTAAATACAATGACTAATAAAAAAAATTATATTTTTTAAACGTACCTATTAGCCACATTAGTTCTGTTGCGAATACTGTCATTTCATCTCGGTCAATGTTTTGGAAGAGGGAAAATGTATCCCGCACTTTTCCGCCGATGTGAAATGAAGGCAGAAACAAGATAATTGTGTTTTCTAATAAAGCGCACAATTTTCTTGCGTGATTCAATATACAAATTTTGATATTTATATTTAAATAATATTTGCAGACATTAAAATTCGAAACAACAACAAAAATCAATTTTTCATTATACCGCACTCCATGCGTAATTCGGTAATGATCCATTATTTACGGTTGATCAATATTTACATATATGCTAACCGTAATTATAAATTTGATCATGAGCATCCAATAACACAAACTAATCAAATATTAATATTTGTTTTATAAAATTATTATATTCGTATATATCGATCGGTTATATTTTAATTTTGCACTAAAATTGAAGTATATGTTTTATCATTTTTAAGCTTCTATCTTATTATAATATGAAAACGCGGCAGCACAAATATATGTAAAATCCATTTCACAAGTTGTCAGTCGATATAAAATGAAAAGAGGATCATTTAAATTGCGCATTTAGAGACAAGTTGTAATATTAGATGCTATTATGCTTTAGCAACTTTAATGAAAACAGTTTCTCGTATATCATAGCAGACTTTTTACATTACCACTTTAAGATTAAAAAACTTCATTGTATGAAAAAACTTCATTTTCGAACGAAATTGTACGAATTAATTCACCACGATAAAATCATTCGGCCCTAGAACGCGCTTTGGAAAGTACGCAGCGCGATATTGCATCTCATTTCCGCAAAGATTATGTTTTCGGCGATAATTTTCCGGTAGCCGGAGCGGTTAGGACGACGTAGACGCTGTTGGAAGCGACGGCTTCCGTAATTGCTCAGCGGTACAATCAGCGATGTACGAAGGGTTACCTAATGCATCTCGAAGGGCTTGGATGTACGTTCTCATGCGGAAGGAATGTTAATGCGAGATGGCTGTATGATTTCAGGAGCGCAGAAATTTTGCGCAAAAATATTTCGCGATTTCCATTTATTTTCAATTTTTAGCATAGCACACAGAATAGTCAGAAAAAATATTTTTTTATTCCAATATCTCTACAGTATCCTCCAAATTCTGATTAAATCGCGATCGATTTGGGTAAAGGGTATAGCTAGAGGAAACCCGAGTCTGTTTGACCCTATTGTATTTACCGTACCAATCATTCCGTGTCACAACACAGCGTAATTTATGTGCCTGGTAAGCGTACGCCTCTATAAACTCGCGACACAGCAGATGCAATAACACCACCCTCGCGGTCGTATTTCGCCGAGCGAAATTCGGCGAGCACGTTCCGTCTCATTAGCCTCACGAGGTGAAACGCGTCGCTCTTGTCATTTGTCACTGTCCGCACGGTTGAGCGGAATACCCTGCCGATATACTTTGTCAGTTTTTTCCCTGATAAGTTTTGTGTTCTGTATAAAAACGTCGCGATACGCAACGCGTATTCAACGCGAAAAATATATCACTAAAAATTTATTATTAATATTTTGTCGTGAAATTGTCTCATCTGGCATTATTTCAACAATAATACGCGCGACACTTCAGGAAGAGAGAAACGGACCTACATACGATCTACACATCTGTCTAAAGATGCAGGAAATACACTTGTCACGAATTCTTGCGTGACAAGAATAAATATTTTCGAACCATTTACCTCAATGTTCACGCATTAACACGGCGGCAAGAGTTAACGATCCACGAAGATTTGAAATTCCTAGAAAATAGCTGGTGGATTTAAAACTATGGAGATTAACGCGGAATTTTTCAACTCGTCCTTTGCATCGCGGCTTTATGGAGAACCGGAAGTGCATCAGTGTGCATTCGTGTCGGTACGTTTGCGATTCCACGCTGCAGTTTCTCCTATCTACAAAACCACATGTCATTCATCCACATTCGCCACACTCGGGTGTTGCGTTTTTTAATGGCATACTTGCGGCACTTAAAATAGCGCGCTTTTCAGGAAGAAAGACAATGTTCTAGGGAGATGTATGTAATATCTAATTACCACAGATACAGTTATACAATGGATCAAAGAGAAGTCCATGGCGTTAAGAATTAATACTTAAAAATCTAGACATACTAGATTTTTCCGACGAAAAATACTCGGAATATGCCACTTCTAACAAAAATATTAAAATTTTGAAAATGTTAAAAAATTAAACAGATGACATATCACTGATTCTATATTGTATCATAAATTTAAAGCACAGTAATTTAAAAAGTACAAATATCGATTGTGCTGAAAAACGTACAATATAGATTATCATCTTTTTTCTATTTAGAATTTAAAAAAACCTAGATGTATTTTGCACAGCACAATATTTGTTTGTAATAATTTCTTGTAAAATAAATTTGCATTGGTTGATTCATTATATTGTGCTGATGACGATAATTGTGAATGTGACGCATGATGCGTGTATAATGTGTGATTAGAAGCGTAAATATGGAATTGCATTTTTGCAATTCAGCGACACACATATCGACCTGACACTAAGCGTAATTATATCGCAGTGAGAGCGTTTCGTGAAACATGAATTGTATCGTGAACAATATCGTTTATTTTTGCATAATGGAATCGCAACGTGTGTCTGATATTTATTTTCGATAAATTGTGGTTGATAATAGAAATAATAGAAAACATAAACCATTCCATATCTTGTCAGCGACAAAGATATACAAAAGGTTATAAAATAATTTACAGCATGTATACTGATATGTTGTCTATCAATTTTCAGAACGATAATCAATGAAAAAGAGACGATATTTCGGTTTTATTTTAAATTTGGAAAATATCACAATTACGAAATCAATAGTTTTGTATTTCAATGCATTCGAATGTATTCATGCATATGTAATTGTAATCATCGCATGTTGCAACTTCAAACACCATTCGTGTAGTATAAAATTACGATAATCAACGTTCAGCAATCACGATAATTATCCTTGAGTAATGTAATAAACTAGCTACTATTATTGACTCAATTTTTCTACATCGAAGCTTAGATAACTTCAATGCGTATACAAAATGCGTGTAACATCGAATTGTTGATACTATAACCTTAATCATCACATTTTACAGGAAATCATATGTTATTCTATTAATAAATGCACTTTTCTTGTACGCAATAATTATCTGCAAATTTTCCTGACTGTGATCTGTCAACCGAATCTTCCTATCAATTACGAGTCTACCGACTGCGCAATAATTATGTCAGGCGCCGTCATGCGCTACTTACATACCCACGCGCTATTACGAAATCACGAGAAACTTAATAATTACTTGTAACGCGTGCAATTAAGTGACGCACCTCCTTTTATTTATGTTTGCTTTACAGTGTCGCGAGAACTATCGACTTCAATATGTAGAAATCTTCGCGATCACGCCTGCAATTCGCATCGGTTATTTAAATAAATCCTGTCATTAGCTCGACAGCACGAACACAATGTATAATAATCCTCATGTCCTCATGTTATTCATGCATTCGTGCTAATTTAATGCAGTGGCTCGCAAGTTAATTATCTTACGACGCGCTCACCGGAACGTCTGATATCTTACATTCGTTGATGCGCGTTTCTATAGCGCGGCACGACTCGTAATCGCTGAAAATGACACGGCCGCGTCGCGCGTCGTTAATTGAATTTTTTTCCATTAACCGTCTTTACGTGCACGGGGATAAGACAAACCGATGCTCTTGCCGCAAATGAGATGAGAATAGGTGGCACACGGTGGTGCATACACCCACGCGGCCTCGCTCGTACATTAAAAGGTCAAGCACGTTTGTTCTTCCACGTTGGATTCGCTAATGGTACCACTGACGTTGGTCACGCCAACGGTAAACACGTTCTACGTAATTCACACGTACGCAATAACCATCATACGTCGATACATTTTAGTATGCTAACAGCGTAAGTGTCGAATAGGTGAAAATACCAAAAATGTTCTATTTTTTCATGTATCTGTTAGACGTGCGTGGTGTCTAGATATTGTGGGTGAATATATCGGCCGTTAAAGTAGTACGCAAGAGCATCGCAGATCTCACATCTGTGGAATGTAAGACTTCTACATATTCATCGCGTCGACCGCGTGTCTCTCTTTTTTTCGCGAGTTTGAGTTATTATATCGTTCGACGATATGCAACACCACGTTTTCATAACGATACCCTAAAATATTTTGAAAAAAATAATTTAATTTTAACTTTTTAATTTGAAAGATCGCTAGAATTCAGATCGCTGCGATTCCTCCAACAATCATGCTACTTACTGTCGAACAAACATATCGAAATATCTTTTCGCGCTGCGCACGACACCATTTATCATGCAATTGCCGTCTCGTTTCGGTAAACAACAATCTAGTAGTCGGTGTATGCTATTATGATTCAAACTGCGCCATGAGTGCAGCCTTCTCGCAATGCGTTATGCAATCCTTCGTGTTGGTTA